ATCAACCACCAACAATTTTTAATTTAAAGGAAGAAATCAAAGCACTAACTTATTTTGTTCAGTAAAGAGAAGCCAACCAATCTGGAAACCTCATCTACTGAAGCAAATAGCTTTGTTGAGCTTTCCTGGTATGAAGTTACGAGGGTCCTAGCAATTTGTAAACACTAACAAGGCAAAGACAAGGGGCAGGCATTTCAAGGTGAGCACCAACCTCAAATTCCTCATCTGTAAAATGAGAGGGTTGGGCATATTTCTAAAGTTCCTTTCATGTCTTTTCAATCTTTCTACAAAAGCTAAGAAAAAAAATAGTATATGACAATGCTGTATACCTATATATTCCAAAATGACATTTGTACTCAATTCAAGGGAACTCTTCTTCATTTTAATGTCACATCAAGCTGCTTCCCTCTCTGAGCAGCTTGCAAACCCCCCACTAGGCACCTGTGCCCTTTTCCAAAGTGAAAAAGAAACCCAGGGACCTCAGTAGGGCAAGCTCATCATCCTGTTACAAAGCACAGAGTTTTAGAACCTTCAAGTACACCACCTTATACTTACCTCTAAAAAGAAAAAAGTAACTCTGAGAAAGTTACTGAGAAAGTATTCTTATATTCTAAAAAACCTGCACTATCATCTTCGAAGTAGAGGCAGAATCTCCAAATTACTGGCCAAAAATTGAGGGATAAACTTATTGCTGCAAATATTAAAATTACAAACATCTAATATCCAGAGGAAAATGTGGGGGTGGAGATGGGGTGGGAAAGTGTGTTTTTGTACAAATACTACCTAACAGTTCCTGGGAAGTAATACTATGTGTCACACACAATTTATGTCAGAGACACAGAAGTATGATGGAATGTGAAAGAGAACGCACAAATGACAGTTTGTTGATGTTTGCTATAAACCCACTGACTAAGGCCCAGGAAGTTTAGAGAGCAGGGAAAAAGTAAAGTTCTTACTAATCAAATCTCCTTTACTCATTTTACCTTCAACAAACTCAAGCCAGTCACATTGAACAAGTCCAAAATCCCATCTCCTGGATCCAAAATCCTTCAAGTCAGATTTTTAGATATTACTTATTATTCACAGCAGGGTCTGGGCAGCACTGCAAAATCAAACACCAATAGTTCTGCAGTATAATGAAGAAAGAAAAGAGGCACCTTAAGTGGGCTAAAGACCATAGGCAGCCTCTTGTTACTTCAGGTCAAATGAATACATCTGGTAACAAAATGTATGAAACTCTTTCAGTGTTTCAGTCCTCTCTGTGACTTTGGAATTATAGATATGGGATTGTGGACCTGCAGTAATTTTCTTCCCAGTAGAAATGATGGTAAGATATCCTCTTGACTAAACTATGCTGCCAGGTAACAGGATAAGAAATTTTGTGCGTTTTTATGCTGCAAAACACTTTTAGAATAACTGAAATGTACAGCCATACAATAGAGTAACTGGTACTTTTAAAAACAATGCTGTAGAATATGTAATGACATGAAAAGACGCTTGCTCACAAAGGTGAGAAAAAGCAGTTTAGGAAATACTGTCACTGCTTGATCCCATTTTTAGCTTAAAAAAAGGGGCAGACATGTACATTCACCAGAGAATACAAATCAAAACAGAGTGATTATATATGGCTGATAAAACTATCAAGATTCTTTTTTAAAAAACATATTTTTGCTTATCTGTATTTTCTCTATTTTCTATAGTGAATATCTAATACTTTTATATAGAAAAAAACACAAAATTCACTTATAAATGGAAAAACCCAACCGGAATTAGAAACACTACTTGAAAGTTCTTACCTCCGATGATACAGATAAATTACAGGAAAATAAAAGAAGTGTTTCTGTTTTCTGCATTTCCCCTGGTTCCACCAACAGTTAATTGCCACAAACAACACCTGCAGAGTCAAAACAGATTTTCAGATGACTATGAATAACAACTGAAAATTACCAAGATTCAAAAGATGAAATTATAAAAATGGTACTCCTCCTCTCTCACTGAAACAGAAAGTATGAAAAAAACTGTTTTGAGCTTTCAAAGAAGGTCATCATTTACCACTAAAACAAAAATGAAAGACATACTCTTATCTATAGTGTCCAGCTAAGACTTGAAGTCTGGCCCGAAGGAAAATTATTTGCTATGTATTTA